TACTTCATAAATTCACTGGAATGAATTCTCTCATATTCCTCAATAGGAGATCCAAGAGAGTTAGTGCATTCTCTTGGTAGAGGTGTGGTCTCTAAGACTGCGATATTCAGTTGACTACATTTCTCAATCCCCAGTCTAGTGTTTAATGATTAGATTATGAATCCAAGCTTTGGATTTTTCTGGAATATAATCCCCTTGAGGCTAAGCATTTTTTCCTACACACACATTTTTTTTTGTCTTTTTTTCTTCTCTGAAGTAAGCTTAGCATAACAAAAATTATATATTTTTAGATATTGTTTGTATAAAATAGAAGGGAGAATATATTGAAATCTAAATTCTGGGGCTAATCATTCATTGTGAGTTCTTTGTTTTAAATACTGTTATTCTTGTTGTTAGTTGCTATTGGGTCAGGTTCAACTCATGGCAACCCAATGTTCAACAGAACAAAACACTGCCTGGTCCTGCATCATCTTGATATACTCTAGTCCATTGTTTCAGCCACTTTGTATTTTGAGTGCCTCAAAGACAGATGGTTCAGATTTCAGCACTATATCAGATTATGTCTGTTGTCATCCATAACCCTGTTATAATATCTATTATGATTCATTGGCTAAATGAATGGAAGTAGATCACCAGGCCTTTCTTTTTAGAAAGTCTTATTCTGGAAGCTCCACTGAAACCTGTCCACCATGGGTGATCCTGCTAGTATTTGAAATGTTGTGTTGTTGTTGTTATGTGCCGTCAAGTTGGACCTGACTCATAGTGACCCTTCCTTGGGTTTCCGAGGCAGTATCACTACAGAAGTAGATTGCCCAACCTTCCTTCCCAGGAGTACTGATGGCACAGTTTCCAGCATCATAGCAACATGCAAGCCATGATAGAATGGCAAACTGACAGATGGGTGATGGATTTTAAATCCTAATCAGGTATCATTTGATGGGTTTATGGCTTCACAAATTATTTAACCATCAGTGATTTTTATCCACATGAACACACATGATATTCTGTATATCAGCATCATTTTAGGCTCTTGGCACAATAGATACATGCCAGACAAATATTTGTTTTATTGACACATAGGGAAGCAACCACCCACTAATCTGAGTAAATACAATATGTGCCAAACTTGGCTTTGCATTTCATTGGTTAATGGCAGCAAAGAGGCATCTGAGATGAGATTTCTACAAGGCAATGATACTGATTTGATCAATTCTAAGATACTCTGCCACACTGATTAGATTTGGAATTAATTTGAAGTCTTGCATAATCCATGTTAACAACCATTGTTGTTGTTACTGTTAGACACCACAGAGTTGATTCCAACTCATAGTTATCTTTTGTGCAACAGAATGAAACACTGCCCAGTCCTGTGCCATCCTCATAATCCTTGCTATGCTTGAGCCCATCATTACAGCCTCTCTTTCAGTCCATCTTATTGACAGTCTTCCCATTTTTTGCTGACCCTCCTCTTTACCAGGCATGATGTCCTCCTCCAGGAAATGGTCCCTTCTGACCACATGACCAAAGTAGGTGAGACGAAGTCTGACCATTTGACCATTCTCACTTTTAAGAAACATGCCAGCTGCACTTCTTTGAAGATAGATTTGTTTGTTCTTCTGGCAGTCCATGGCATTTTCAGTATTCTTCACCAACACCCTAAGACAAAGGTATCATTTCTTCTTTGATCTTCCTTATTCAGTGTACAACTTTCACATGCCTATGAGGTGATTGAAAATACCATGGCTTAGGATAGGTGCACTTTAGTCTTCAAAGTGACATCTTTGCTCTTCAACACTATTTAAAGAGGTCTTTTTGCAGCAGATTTGCCTAGTGCAATACAGCATCTGATTTATTGGCTGCTGCTTCTATGAGTGTTGATTGTGGATCCAAGTAAAATGAAATCTTTGACAACTTCATTTTTTCTTCATTTATCATGGTGTTACTTACTGATCCAGTTGTAAGAATTTTTGCTTTTTTTATGCTGATGTAATGTTCTTCAGCAGTAAGTGCTTCAAGTCATCTTCACTTTCAGCAAGTAAGGTTGTGCCATCTGCATGTCACAGGTTGTTAATGAGTCTTCTTCCAATACTGATGGGCTGTTCCTCTTCATATAGTCCAGCTTCTTGGATTATTTGCTCAGCATATTGGTTAAGTATGCTGAAAGGATACAAACCTGATACTTGTCCTTCCTTACTTAAAACCATTCAGTATTCCCTTGTTCTGTTCCAAGGACAGCCTCTTGGTCTATGTACAGGTTCCTCATGAGCACAATCAGGTGTTCTGGAATATGGAATATGGTTAACAACCATATTACCTAACATTTTATTTATTACCAAGATTTATAGTTTTATTGCACCTCAGAACTCAATCTTCCATACACAATTCTTCACATGTCTGACAGCTGAGCTTTCAATCTAGGGCCATATCTAGGGTATGACAGGTATAGCACATGCACTGGGTGCCACTTGAAGGTTGGTATCACTGAGCAGTTGCCACAACCATCACAGTTGCCATAATCAGATGTGAGAAATCATTCCACAAACTAAAACTAATATTTCCCTTTTGAGAGCCCTTTCTTGACTTTAGGGCTTTCTTTTCCCACTGCCTGCCCCTTCTACCCACCCTCCTTTCCAGCCAGGTCCACAACTGCCCTCCCAAAGCCTCTGCATCCCCACATGCCACCCTCACTCCCCTGGGTGCTGGCGGCTCCCACTGCCTCTGTCCAGACCTCCCATCCACCTACCTGCACATTGAATGCCCTCTTTCTCCCTAAACAGGTTCTAGACATTAAGAACTATTTTATCTTAATCTAACATAATCTTTATGTTATGCTTTAGAGGGGCTGCAATGATGGGCTCAAGTTTCCAACAAACTGGAAGGAAAAGTTATCCAAGGCCCGAGCCAGGTCAAGGTGGGGTGAGGGGGTTGCAAGGCAGGACCTGGGAGAGCCTATTCTTTTAAAAAAATTGCCTTTCTCCCATTAAAATGAATAACTGACCTCCTAAGGCAGAGTTTTGATTTTTGGGTAAATTGTCCAATGTGCACAATGATGCTGAATATTTAAAATGGATGCCAGATGCTCAGAAAGAGGTACAATTTCAGTGCTTGCCACAGGTGCCATTTTCCATAGATATGCTTCTGCTTCAACCTTGATGCTAAATTTGACCACTTGTTAACATTTTCACTATCAGCACCCTAATCTAAGCCACTACCATTTGTGGACTGGGTGCTTTAATAGCCTCATAACTGATCTAGTTACTTCTATCCTTGTGAGTCTATAATCTGTTAACCATATAGGAGCCAGAATGATCTTAAAATACTAGTTGGGCAATGTCACTCCTCTCCTTAAAATCTTCAGATGGTTTCTTACTCCTCTCATGGCAAAAGCAAGAGCCCTCACTATGGTTTACAAGGCTCTACATCATCTGTGCCCTCATATTTTTCTGAATTCATCACCTGTCCCTTTACCCCCTCTCATTCCACTTGAATTATACTGGACTTCTTGTTATGTTTCAAACACACCAACCTTGTCCTCATTTCAGAGCTTTTGGGCTTATTGTTTTCAGCTAGATAATTGTGTAGTCTGTTTCCTCAACACTTTCTGGAATTTGCTAAAGATCAACTCCTCTGAGAAACTTTCTGTAATCAACATATCTAAATATCAGCTCTCCACTGTTCTCCATTCCCTTGTCTTGGTTTTATTTGTTTTCACATGGTTTTTGCATGCCATTGAGTCAATTTTGACTCACAGTGGCCTCATGTAACAAAGTGGAACTACCCCCATCTGGTTTTCCAGGCTGTAATCATTTACATGAGCAGATTACCAGGTCTTTCTCCTGCACAGCTGCTGGGTGGGTTTGAACCACCAACCTTTCAGTTAGTAGTCGAAGTTTAACCATTGCTCCACTAGGGCTCCTTATTTGTCTTCATGGTCCTAGTTATTATTTGACACTTCATTATGTGGCTTATTTGTTTATGTTTGTTAACTATGACAGATTGTAAGCTCCATGAAGGTCTGAACTGTCCTATTTACCGTTTAATCTCCAGCACTTAGAAACTTCTAATTGTATGTTGATTGATTAAATAACTTGAGTCATCAGGCCCCTCCATTTTATAGTTGAGGAAGATGAGGATCAGAGACATAAAATTTCTTACAATCATATATCTAGTAGAGGCAGAACTGGGGTCTTGATCACCACACTATGTCTAATTAACCAACCAGTTACCGTGAAGTCGACCCTGACTCATGGCGACTCCATGGGTGTCAAAGTAGAACTGTTCTCCACAGGGTTTTCAATGGTTAATTTTTCAGAAGTAGATCTCCAGGCTTTTCTTCCCAGGAGCCTCTGGGTGCACTCAAACTACAACCTTTTGGGTAGCATCCAAGCATGTTATTAACTCTCCTAAAAAAGCCAATTATTCCTTTTAATAACTGTTACAATTTGTCAAATGATACTTACTGAGCCAGAATGGGAGGCTGACAGCATATAATGTTTTGTCTATGGATGGCTTCACAGCTAGTGAATTTAGTGGCATATTAATAACAGTAGCAATAATAATAATTAATGATGGTGATTATGCTCATTTATGTTTAACCTGCTAATCAACAATTGTACTGTGTTTGGACACTTTCTTTGGCCCAAGGTTTATATTCTCTATCCTAAGGGCAGAATAGTACATTTAACATTACCGGGAGTAATGTACACATGGGAGCTCTAGTAGCATAGTGGCTAAGGCACTTGACTGCTAACCAGAAGGCTGGCGGTTCAAACCCACCAGCCACTCCTTGGAAGGAAGGTTGGGCATTCCTACTTCTGTAGTGATACTGCCTCGGAAACCCAAGTAGGGGTTGCTATGAGTTGGGGCCGACTCTATGGCAAACAACAACAACAATGTACACACACAAAGTACCAAACCTCTCAGTTCTCTCTAGCTACAACACTTCCTATGTCCAATATTTTTTCCACTTCCTAAGTTAAACACACATGCTCTTCACTTACCTTCCAGAATACCGAGCTCCACCTGTTAGGTGATCTCTGGATCTGGAAATCATCCTCATACTCCCAGATGGAGGTGGTACAGTCCTCATAAAACTGGTGTAGGTAGGATCGGACACCGTAGTGCTGGTACCCACCCTCGGTAGTGGCCTGTGCCTGCTTGGACCCACAGATGTTGCTGCAGGAACTCATCCTTCCCAGCTGCAAAGATAATGTTCACAGAGATAAGTGGGATGAAATCTACCCTCAGGATCAAAGGACATATTAAAGGAGATAACTGGGCTGAGTGATGTAAATCTATCCGAACAATACTCTTTTCTTAAAAGGCACTTTTAAGGGCTTGTCTTTCTTATAACCTCTTCTTTTCTGTCTAATGCAAAAGTATTGTCAAATAGTCAACAACGAGTACTGGTTCTCTATAAGTGAAACAAGACACAAACAGCATAAAACTGGGACCAAACTCAAACCAGTTACCTATGGAGTCAATTCCAATTCACGAAGCCCTCATTTATGCAGAGTAGAACTCCTTCATAGAGGTTTTCAAGATCATGACATTTTGGAAACAGATTGCCAGGCCTTTCTTCTGAAGTGCCTCTGGGTAGGTTTGAACCACCAACCTTTTGGTTAGTAATCTAGTCCTTAACCAATTGTGTCACCCAGGGATAGTACAAAGAGCATAGTTCATATGTGCAAAAAAAAAAAAAATGAAGCTTGAGCCAATGAGAAATAGCAGCCAACAAGCTGAGATTTTCATTCCCTTGACAACAAACCGTTAACCTCTTAGAACTCAGTAGTATTTACACATGAGTTATGTGTAGAGTTAGGCGAGGCATCCTCACTTGCTGCAGATGGAATTGGTCTTGGACTGTCTTCTCAGGTTGTTAACAGTGTTCCCTTGCAATGTCTACATGATGTTACTCTTACCAGTTTAAATTTTGCTTTCTGATCTTATATGTCTTATCCTAACATTTAAAGTAATTTTCAAGTTTCATAGGAGCTTTATTAAAAGGTTGCTGTATTTTATCCTTATGCTTTTTTAATCCCCAATGGCCTAGCCCGTAATTTACACCTCACTAACTCTGACACTCATATGCATGTGAGAGCTGGACAATGAACAAAGAAGACCAAAGAAGAGTCGATGCTTTTGAGTTGTGATGTTGGTGAAAAATACTGAAAGTACCATGGACTACCAAAAGAATGAACAAATCTGTCCTGGAAGAAGTGCAGCTGGAATGTTCCTTGGAAGCGAGAATGGCCAAACTTTGTCTCACCTACTTTAGTCATGTTGTCAGAAAGGACCATTCCCTGGAGAATGATATCATGCTTGGTAAAGTGGAAGTTCAGCGAAGAAAGAGAAAGCCCTCAATGAGATGGATTGAGGGCTTGATACAGTGGCAGCAATGATGGGCTCAGGTATAGCAAGGATTGTGAGGCTGGCCCAGGACTGGGCAGTGTTTCTTTCTGTTGTACATAGGGTCACTATGAGTTGGAACAGACTTGACAACAACAATAACAACTCTGACACCATATATTTCAGTCACTGTTTGTAAATACAAGGAGCTCTGGAGGTGCAGTTGTTAAGGTATTCAGCTGATAACTGAAAGATCTGCAGTTCAAACCCACCAACCACTCTAAGGGAGAAATATGAGACAGTCTGATTCTGTAAAATTTACAGTTTTGAAAACCCTATGGGGAAAGTTCTATTCCATCCTATAGGGTTGGTATGAACTGAAATTGACTCGATGACAGTAGGTTTGGATTTTTTGTTTTGTGAACATCTCTCCAGGTGATATGCTAGATAATACTATAGGGTGCAGACCTGACTTTTTTTTACTTTCTGTAAAATGTCACAATATAGATAAGAATTAGGGAGTTGTCAAATGAAATTATGAATTTAGTAGGCTACTTGGTTCTCTGTCTTCTTAAAACAGAAATTTCAACATGTGCAAATCAATTCCTTGTTATTTACTGTTCAGTTGATTCCCATTCATGTGTGCAGAGTAGAACTACTCTACAGGCTGTGACCTTTCAGAAGTACTCTTTTGGGTGGGTTCAAATGACCCATTTTTTTGGCTAGTAGTCAAGAGCTTAACTGTTTGCACCACCCAGAGACCCCTAATATCCTTAAAAATAGTCACTGCCATCCAGTAGAGTCCAACTCATAGTAAACCCCATAGGGTTTCCAAGGCTGTAAAACTTTATAGAAGTAGATTACCTCATCTTTCTCTTGCAGAGCAGTTGGTGGCTTTGAACCACCAGATTTCTTGTTAGCAGTAAAATGCCTTACCCTCTGCACCACCAGAGCTCCTTCCTAATGCCCTTAGAGAGGGACATTTATAGAAATGTGATTATCAATTCATGATAAAAAAAAATGGAACTACTGAGTAACAGTAATTTTGATGAATAAAAGAAATTTCAGTTATCTTCTCTTCTTTGGTTTTCTGATTGCCATATATGCAGACACATGTTGCTGTATTGTGTCTTTGATTCAATTCTGACTCATGGAGACCTCATGTATTACAAAGAATTGTGCTACACAGGGTTGTCTTGGCTGTAATTTTTATGGAATCAGATCACCAGGCCTGTCCTGAGTGCAAACTATTTGCATCACCCAGGTATACATGTAGCTAGAAATACTTGTTGGGGTTTTTCAGTTATGTCCCAGATTATTTTCTTTTTGTGGAATAATCAGTCTCCATGTGGCAAAATGAAGAACAATATAGAACGTTAGTTTCCCACGGAACCAGGTTCTCTCAAGACTTGTGTTACAGTGCAAGTCTTACTGAAGGCTTATTAAATGTTTCCAATTCCTTAGCAAGAAACCAACTAGTAATATTTTTCTACAAGATAAAAAATTAATCTGCAGTTCAATCAAGTGCCCATGTGTGGCCACTTAATTTGGTTGGATAGAACGATGGGGCTGAAATTAAATTGGAAGCTCGGGATACTTAGCATTACCCTGTCCCATGGCCACAGAATAAACCTGTAGAACATCTTGTAAATGCATGCTTTTAGCCAAAAATGGGTTTGGTTAGAAAATATAGTCAAATTCAGGAATATATGGCCTTGCTTCTAGAAAAATGATATAAGCATGTGCTACTGATGATGGCTAGCAACTGTTGCTCAATATTACTTTTATCTGTTTGTCAATTTAGTGCCTACCTTCCTGTGCAGTCTTCCTGTTTCAGGTATAGCATTGACCTTGAGTCAATTCTGAGTCATAGCAACCCTCTAGGACAGGGTAGAACTGCCCCATAGGGTTTGCAAGGCTGTAATATTTACCAAAGCAGACTCTTTCATCTTTCTTCTGGGGAGTGGCTGGTAGGTTCAGTCAGCAGCTGAGCACTTTAACAATTGTGCCCTCAGGCCTCCTTTTTACAGGAATAGCTACTGTCATCATGAAGGAGAGTGCAAAGGAAGAAAAATATAACTTCTTTTTTTTTACTTTAAAAAAATTCTGGAAGTACATAATTTCATGGAGATATAAAGTTTTTATAATGTACTTTGCTTGACTAGAACATCAAAGTCTGTTGCATTTAAAGATTGTTGACCTAATTTTCATATTTTAAGCACTAAGAGGAGCACTTCAGTACCTTTTATTCAATGTCAATACAATGAAGATGGTTAATAAGAGCCTATTACTAGAATAATTTCAAAGACATTTTCTTCTAAGACATTATAATAAAATTTCAATCAAGGGGAGATGGGATTAGTATTACTAATCCTGCTTTGTCATAGAAGAAACTGAGGCACAGAAAAATCATCTGCTAAAGGTTACATCATGAGTCAGGGAGCAGATGAAAGATGATAGTTAATTAATAAAGAGAGCAGGAATGTGGACTGAATCATGTACTTGCATAATCAGAGCCCACTCACCTACATATATATTTTTCAGGTTTCTACCAGAGACTTTAACATGAATAACGTACAAAAATAAATATGATAGGAGTTTAAAAAAATCCCTCATAGCAACAGTCAGAGCTATTTTCCTTAGATGCTGGTAGTCATTCTTTCTTGGGTCTGAGCTTTGGTGCAAAGCAGGACAGTATGACATATTGCAGTCATTCCCTGAACAGCTTGTTTCTGGCATGCTAGGTTAAACGCTTCTGTTTTATAAGATGAGACTTGGTAGTCGAAGTTTGCTAAGAAACTAATATGGGAAAAATCATAAAAGAGATCAAAGTGTCACAAAACAAATGGTTTGAGTCTAAGTGATAGAAGACTCTACTCAAAGGGAGAATGGATTTGTAGTGAGGTTAGATACATTCCAGAAAAGAAATCCCAATGAGATCTACTATCTCCTCCAGAAATGCAAAGCCCCAGAACATGACCTGTCCTATGCTAACTGCCGAGAGACATAAACTGGACCTTGTCCTGCATCTGTAACTTATTGGTCATGAGATCTCAGGCAAGTCACTTAACTTCTCTGGGACATAGTTTCATCATCTTTTAAAATATTATGGTTATACCATATAACCCCTAATTCTTTCCAGATGTCATTTCCTAGGAATCTTTGGAAAGGAATCTAAAGACTCAAAAAACTAGGGTTACTCGTTACCCACCTCCTTCCACACCCTTATTAATTAATTGTCAGATTGTCTCAAATTCTTGCTTTATTATAGCATGTAGGAAGCATTAGTTGAAAGAAGCACAAAACAACTAGTTAAGTTAGTTACTTGGTACCAAGTATACCAAATGGTTGTATATTGTTTATTTGCTAAATGAGTTACTTCAGTATCATGTATGTTCCCTGGGGTCTTAGAGGCTTCAAACATCTTCCCAAACATTTAACTAGTTGATATTCACTCCTAGAGGAGAAGGACATTTGGAAGAACATGTATTTTGAAATATAAAAGGTTGGGGGGGGGCTTTGGCTTATACCAACTCAACAGAGCCTTCCATACCTCATAGGGAAGCAAGTAGCCTTTGTGCTAATACAGAGAGTATTACAGTTATCAGTAATCTACTTGGCTAATTGACACCTCTGGTATCATAAAAAAAGATATGAGGTCACTTTGGAGTCACTTAAAGCTGGGCAATTATTAATTTTTATAGGATTAACTGGGTGGGGATAGAAATAAAGGGTATGGGCAGAGACTCTTTAGTTAGGCTTAGTTCTTAACTTACAGAATTAAGGAGCAAAATTCCAAGAGGATTCTGCTTTGTGTATTTCAATAACAGCAACAGCAGCA